CACCAGTTTGGTCGTTCCACTGCTTGGTGGAAGCGTATGCCCATTGAGTCCTATCCCCTCCGGGGTCGCAATTCCATTCGCCCGTTAACCGAAGTCATACCCGCTACCCTCGAGAGAGGTTGGTGGTGTTGCAATTTACCCCTATCGTGGACACCCCCTCCGGTACGGATTAACACCGAACCGGAAGGATCCATATTATTACAAACTGTATCGCAACGAATTGCAATAAGTATTAGACCAAACGAGAATACGGCCTCCCACGTTCAAAAGTCCAAGGTCCCCAATGCCGGTGAGCCCACGTGAAGTGCAGATGCGCTACAGCTGCTTGCACAGGCACCTGTCGACCGCACAAATGACCTCGAAGCCTATCAAATGGAGGATCTCAAAAGCGACATAGATGAAGAAACAGACTCCAGTACGACCACTGACGATTCTTTCTACCAGTCTGGCGGGGCTTCCGCCATTATCAAAATGTAGAACTTCTCGCCCGATGAGTTTCAAGAAGTTTGGATGAAGTTCAAGGACGTGGCGCTCAAAAACTGGAACACGGCAAGAAAAAATACCTCGCGAAGGATATGCTTTTCATTGTACTAAGCTGGAAGAAGCATGAGGGACAGTGGGACTTTATCAGTCGGATGTTCAAGATTAAGGGCCCTTCGCTCAGGGATCTTGTACGGAAGTTTATTCGATTAGCAGCAGATGTAAGCTACGAAAAAATGGTGCTTGGAGCTGGAGCGGCTTGGCCTATGGAGCTTATAATCAAAACCAACCGGTCATTCAAAAAGTATCCCTATGCCTGACACGCAACAGATGTTACTTTTTTCCACAATAAAAGACCTACACGAAATGACCAAGAATCAAAAACATATTTTCTGGGAAGCATAACCTTCATAGATACAAGAGAGAGGTGTCATTTTCGTCAATTGGTCTGGCAATCGCGTGTAGTGTTCATGATTCCGGTGCGACTGCCGACATCGACATTTTCTACAGATTGAAGTCAGAGCATGAGTTGATGCTGAAAAATATGGAAGACGAGAATGACATTCTTGATGCTAGTGCACTTTGTGATAGGTACTACGATAGTTTGGCTTTTCTTTTAGACAAAGAGTACCAGCGTCTTGCGGAATCAGGTCGAGGTATTGTTCCTACGAAAAAAGAAGCCCGGACGGCCGTCGACTATGGAAGAAGAGAATAGAAATCTACAACATGCTTCGTATAGAATTATTGTCGAAAACTACTTTAGTTTGTTGTGTGGTCTATGGAATGTGCTCAGTTCGCAGTTTCGGTGGGGCGAAAAAATGTACGACATGATACACAAGTTTCTGTTGGGAATTACGAACATGCATGTTAGCTGGCATTCACTACGAGGAGGTGATCTCAACCTTCACCGGCGTCTGTAGTGCAGTGACCCTGCGTACTGTACGCCAGGTCCCCAGCGTCGCCCTGCCGCGCTCCCGCCTTTGACAAGTGTGTCACACTTATACTGTGCGCGTGCACTTTGGATGATACCGCACAGTGTGCATGTGTCACATGTGACACCTGTATGGCCCCTATAAATACGTGGTGCGCGCAAGTTTCTAGTCTAATTGGCGCGTAATGCCAAGTGGCAACTTTAATGGCAATTACCAACTATTAATTACCCATTTAATAACCGACGCCGACGACGGCACTCGGCCTATATAGGTCGGTTGCCGGAGGACAATACGGTAAAGAGACATCAAATGGCCTGACTTCACTCTAGGTAGTGTCCTTTTTGGTTACTGTCTTAGTGGCTCCGTCTGGTACCTTCCCCCTTCTTTATCATCCCTTTCTTTGTTTTTCCACTATGGTTTCCCCTATTTCTATATTTACGCTATTGTTCATCTTCCTTCTTCCTTCTGTTCTCTTGTTTTGTTCTTCTTCGAAAATTTGATAGCAATCCGTGATACGGACACGACGCACCCACTACTTCTAGTTATTCGATTCCGAGTACCTCTTCACGCCCTGACGGCGACTATACCCTCGATCCTCGCGTTTTCTCTGAGCTACCACGGACAGAGGATCCCGAACACCCTGGTAGTGACTGGACATGCCGCCTTGCCTCATAGCGAGATTTATGCCCTCGTTGGCGAGTGCGTCCACTGCACTACAGCGTGTCAAGAGCAGAAGATATTCGTTTGGCAATGAGACGGTGGAGAGACGGAAGAGAGTGCAGGCAAAATACAGGCAGAAGGACAAGGCAAGAATGGAACTCAGCTTCCCGGCCGGACCTGCAGATGAAGCTAGGTTTGAGAATGAAGACTTAGATTTCTGAGCACCACCGAGCAATACAGTAAACACTTTCTGAGTTCTTATCCTATCACGCTTTTTGAAAAAATGAAAATAATTTGCCATACATTGCGATCTCAGGTCAAAGATGATGCAATTTCAGTGTCATACGGTCATTCGAACACGAACGTTATGTTTTTACTGTAATGAGTTACACCTAGGGTGTACCCTAGGTGATGTGCGTTTACCACAAGGGTTAATGGTTCGAGTTTCAGGTTTTTTGCATTTTAGTCTGTTGTCTGAATAAAGCCACCCCGAGAGGGTGGTACATTATTTGTCAACTGCCATTTCTCAGTTGGAATAGCAGAGCTTCACGAAGAAGTCTGCTGTCGTCGCACGCCTTGCTCGCCTCCGCCTGACTCAGACCCTGAGAAAAGGGTACTGAGCTGTCGACCGGTGGCGTCGTGCCGAGTCAACAACCATTCAATCAGGTTTTCGCAACACTTGTAAGTGCACGAAGCCAAGTCGTCACTGCCGTTCGATACTGTCACCATCTCTGTGAGTCACTGTCGCTGCCGCTGCTCGTGTTCTCCTGTCACCACCGCTGCTTATCACCGCTGTATGCAACTGCTGCATACTACTGCAACTCATTTAGGCTGTAGATAAGAAAATCTGGGAAACTCGAGGTACACGGGAGCCTGGCGATACTTCTGACCACTTGAACCAATCTCTGGTACTGCGTGATAATTGACCCGGCGCTGTAGTGTTACTGAGACTTCGGTCTGTCTAGAAGCCGCTGTACCCTAAGGGAAAATTAGACGAGCCTAGTATTATTGTACGTCTGCCTTCCCCATTCGACTACAAAACTGGTGCGACCTTTTTGAGGTCTGGTGAAGTAACGGTGTGAGAGGAGTAACGGGGTGTGGTGGAGTTGCGGCGTGACGTTTTCCTAAATTTTCTATTCTGCTTTCAAGATGACAGATACTGCAAATTCCAGCTCCCGCGAGCAAAGAAGAACTAATATCAAGTCTGCAGTGGAGCAGATTAACGTTTAATCAGAGAAACAACATGCCTTCAAAGAACGTATGAGGCATATATTAAGCAGCACCTACATGTCCACAGCCGCTACCCGTGAAGTAATTCTAGAATTATTCCCGCCTGAATCTCTGGTTTCTCCCTGATGTCTGAAACTGCCTCTATTGTTTTTTAACTTTCGTGAAGTTCTTCAATTGTGCGGTGTGACTGTGGAGCAGAGACAAGGTTTGTATGTACCTCAAGCAATTATGAACGCAGTGTACTCCGATGACGCTCAACTATTGAATACTGCGAATTCGTACCTAGCGGATTACAAATTATCCATTACGAGGGGTACTTCATCTTCTCCAATTTCCGAACAACGATCTGAAGTGAACCAAGAATCCTTCGGGAACGAGAGTGACTGGCGCAAAGTTGATGCCGTGATTCGTAGATTCTCGGATGGGGAAAACTATAGTGGAATTCTGGCAGAATCTCCAAATATTTCTGAAGCACAGAATGCTTACATCACCTACTGCTCACAGTAGGGATTCTCGAGGGGTGATCGCGTGAGGTTGATTTCAAGTGTACTGAAGGGTCCTGCATGACTGTACTGGAGTACTCATATCCAAGGAAGGGATGCTTTCACAGAGATTGGCGCCATATTTAGGGCACTTGAGTACCAGCTCGATACGCCTGCTCATCAACGACAGATCGAGTCATTGACAAATTCTCTCACTATTGAAGACGTCAGAAAGCAACAGGGTTGCAGTCGTGTTGCTGCACTCGGTTTCCTCTATCATGAAGTCTCACGCTTGAACGCACAGTTCCCGAAAGTCAAGCGAGGGGACGCTTCTCGCACCCAACCCCTAATGAAAATTGTAGAGAAATGTGAGTGGTCTCGTTCTGCTGAAGAGAAAGTTATGCAAGAAGCTCCCAGATATGATCCAATCTATACACAACTTTCTGCGTCCAATGTTATTTGGGAAAATGATATCAGGAGAACTGGACAAGACCCGGATGTTGCCGATGAACGCCGAAAGTCGCAACCGTCTACTTCCTCCGTCATAGGATTTGGTGCACAACACGCCAATCCTGTCGTTCAAGCAGGTCTCGCCCTTCCATGAGACGCCAAAACTCATCTTCGCCACCAATTAGACAGAATCTGTCTAATGGCTTGGCAGTTTGTTGGCGACGAGTGATCTGATCACTCGTGGCCAACAAACTGCCAAGTCCTTAACGGTCCACTTCAATTCCGTTCTGACAACGAATTTGAAACAAAATGTTTTAAATGTGGCAGAACTGGACATTGGCGCGCAGAATGCGCATACAATGATGGCCAATCTCAGCTTCAAGCTGCTAGAAGTAGGATTAGAGAAATCGGAGGACAGCGAAATGCCGCTGCTGCCAGAGGTCTGTTCGAATTGTTGCAAGAAGAGGATGAGAACAATCACTCAGGAGATGCTGAGAATGATATCTTTGAGGCGCTTGTGAATGCAACTGAGGACAGTGACGATAAGTCAGAAGATACGTTTGAAACTCACATTGTTGGTTCTGAGAATGAGAAGAAAGAAAAGGAGGACTTTCGAAAAGCGGGAATACAGTAACTACGCTGCAACATCGACTATAATCCAGACGCAATCTTCTTCCTTGTATCTCATGCTGAGCCCATCCGCACATTCTTAGTTCATTCAACAATTGCAGAACTTTCCAAATCTATTGGAAAGAACCTATCGAACATGTTCGAAGGCGGTGCTGTCGATACTGGAGCACAAATGTCTGTCATTGGCACTTGCCAAGCGAGGGCGTACTGTGATTCTCTTGGAATTGACCTTCATCTTCCCCCCACTCAATCTACCTTCGTGTTTGGAGACTTGAAGAAGAGCCTGGGGAAACTGAAAATTGTCTTGCCAACGCCAAGTGGTGACGCACCAATTGAAACGCATATCCTTCCTGCTAAGATTCCGTTCTTGATCGGCTTGAACACACTGGACAAGTATGGTTGGAATGCTCTAACTGTTCAGAATGAGCTCCATTCCGTCAATGAGGGTTGCAAGATTCCAATAACGAGGAAACTGAGTCACATGTATGTGACTTGGGAAAATCAGTATGTCACTCACTATTCCAGGCAACAACTACAAAACATGCATCTGCACTTCATGCATCCCTCTGTTTCAAAACTCCTCAATCTTCTTGAACGTGCTTATCAGGATCAAGTGACTGAAGATACGAAAGAGATACTCAAAGACATTTCCGATGCTTGTCACATTTGCCAGACATACTCTTCAAAGCCGATAACATCCAAGTCAGGTTCCCGGATGAAGTTGTATTCAACAAAACCATACGAATGGATTTGATGTTCATTGATGGGGCACCTATTGTTCATGTCATGAATGCTGGAACGAATTTCTCTGCGGCCAGATTTCTAACAGCTGAAGATACTGAAACTATCTGGAACACGTTCTTGTATGCCTGGGTTACAGTATACATAGGATACCCACATGACATCCTCACTGATCAAGGATCTGTGTTTACTGGGAAAGAGTGACAAGAACGCTGTTCTTCAAGAGAGTTGGCGAAAGACTTATAGGACTTTCTAGAACTTATGTCGAAGATATACTAAGGGCAGGAACAGAAGAGTTCCGGAGGCATTCGAATATGGAAACTATGGAGACGTTCGATTCCAAACCGTCAGAGACACCACCAATGACTTTCACAGGTCTGCACATATCAAGTTCAAAGTCACATTACGAGCTCTCTCAGAGAAACTACGTAGAAAAACTTGGTTTATTGCAGAACGATACAACTTTTGAGATGTTTTGTTCCATGCGTACCAAGCTAGCTTGGGTTGTGAATTCACGCCCTGACATTGCATGCGCCGTATCATTTGCATCTCAGATTACACCATCAACCTTCACTTCCGAATCGTTCAAGTCTCTTAACAAGATCATCAAACATCTGAAGTCAACTGCTGACTTGAGCCTTAAGTATCCACGATTTGATTTGGATACTATCCATATCACCGTGTACTCTGATTCGTCTTTCAACAATAATTCAGATCATACAAGTCAACTAAGATATGTAATCCTGTTGATGGATGGAAATAATCGCTGCTGCATCATTCAATATTCCTCGCACAAGTCACGAAGAGTCGTAAGATCTAGCGCTGCAGGAGAAACAATCGCTTTAGCAGATGAATTTGACCAGTCATTCATACTGAAATACGACATCGAGAGAATGCTTTGGAAAAGAGGTATCACTCCTGATGCTCACTGATTCCAAAATTCTCTTTGATGTAATAACTGGTAATCGATACACGACAGAATCACGTTTTATGGTGGATATATCCGCCATCAGAGAAGCATACAATGAGAGACTTATATCGAATATCGGGTTCATTCGACGCCAATACAATATCGCCGATGGTCTAATCAAGGTCGAGCGCAACTATGCATTGGAGACGGTGATGTGGACCAACAGTATCGACCATCCCATTGAACAGTACATAGCTGATACTGTTCTTCCACGTGCAAAAAACATATGAATGTGTTAGACTTGAAGAGCGGAAGTGATGCAATTTCAGTGTCATACGGTCATTCGAACACGAAAGTTATGTTTTTACTATAATGATTTACACCTAGGGTGTACCCTAGGTGATGTGCGTTTACCACAAGGGTTAAGGGTTCGAGTTTAAGGGTTTTGCATTTTAGTCTGTTGTCTGAATAAAGCCACCCCGAGAGAGTGGTACATTCTTTGTCAACTGCCATTTCTCAGTTGGAATAGCAGAGCTTCACGAAGAAGTCTGCTGTCGTCGCGCGCCTCGCTCGCCTCCGCCTGACTCAGACCCCGAGAAAAGGGTACTGAGCTATCGGCTGGCGGCGTCGTGCCGAGTCAACAACCATTCAATCAGGTTTTCGCAACAAAAGACATGGTATGTATGGTACCCTGACAGCCTGCGCTATTACTAAAATGGGAAGTCTTTTATGAATAATCTGGTATTTATTCAGATACTCCATAACTGGCAGAAAGACCTACTGTACAGTATACCCACCAAGGTATTCGCCTTCGTCAGTTGCTGAAAGGCAACTGAGGCTAAGTTCCCATATGTTGGGTGCAGTATACTTTATACTGTAATGCCCCCTTCCCCGCCGCTGAGGAGCACCTGGAGGGGGCAAGAGGAAGTAAGGAGTAAACAAAACAGTTTATTTCTTTGCGGGCGCGTGCGGCGTCTGAGCCTCGATTCACCTACTTGAGTAGTCCCCCTCCGCGTCTTCGCCTGCACGAAGGGCCTCTATCGCGTTACCAGCGATTGCCCGGGGTTTACTCTGAACCGCATCCGTAAGCGCTTTCTCACAGTAAGCTCGTTCCACTGTAGCGTACGTGACCGCACATTGAGTGAGAACACAGCGTCAGTTCCCGTGGGGGGGGG